GATACTGCCCTTGGAGCAGTATTATTACATCTCAAAATGGCTCCTTTCTGATGATGGATTGCACCGGCAGATCACCACAGTTAGTTGCCACCTTAAGGATTTCTCTTTAACACATCAGAGCCAGATACAGCTAAATTACTCAACAACATGCCATATCTGAGCTATAAATCCAGGTCCAGTAATAGACTTTGTGCATTTATAGTCAACCAGTATGATGCGCATGGAAATCTCCTTTCCTGGCACTAAGTACAAATGTAACTTTTGCATCGTATCTTATCACTAATGCTGGCAAAGTAAATTCGTAACCTTGGTGTAATTTCTACAGCACAGGGCGAGTGCTCAGATAATTACAGCAGGAGACACTGGGTGGTAGGATCTTGGCCTTCACTTTAGGGTCTACCACCAACTTGTTACATGGCTGTGGGCAAGTTTCTTCAGCCAAAGTTTTCTAAGATGTCCAGTGATTTTAGATGTCCAACTAGAGTGACCTTAAGCCTGCTTGCAGAGCTCTTCCAGTTCCTACCAGCCTAAATTGGGTTTTTTTCTTCTTCTTCTACCGAGATTGAGGAGCATCGTAACAGATATACTGGCATTTATTGTTAACTTAAAAATAGCCTGGCACCGAGACAGAGGGGCTAATACATGTCCTCCATTTGGTTAGCTTTCAGAAAGAGAGAGGTCAGCAATTTAAGGTGGCCAAGACCAGTTAGCTTCTCTATAATGGGGTTCAGGAATGGGCAACAGCTAACGCCTGGTTCCAGTCATTAACAAGCATTGCAGTACTGGCAGACAGGTTTGCTCGGGCATAAGGACATGACTTAAATGCTTGATTTTGTCCTGTGAAGGCAAAGGGCAAGGAAGAAGATAACATCAGGCTCTTTTCCACAATAGAAAGGAAAGACTTGCTCAAAACACCGTATTTGTTAGATGGTGGATTAAATAGATTAGATAATGAAGTTTAGTTCCTTATCATGTCTGGGCTTAGCTGGAACCTCTTTTATTCCATCATCTCCTCCGATTACAATAACCAAACATGACTACTGTTCCTAAGGCACCCGTGGGCTTTTTTTTGAACATTTTTCACGGCTGTTTTGTTTTTTTCTGTGCTAGTATATGATTGTGGTTAAAAAAAAAAAAAGAAAGAAAATGTCAAAGCAGAACTAAATCCAACTGTGAACTAATACCACATGAAAAGTGATTGCCATCTTTGGATCTGACCTGGGTTTATAGACATTCAGATTCTTGGGGTTTGAGGAATAGGATTGAAAAATAAAATAGGTGAAAAAGCAAAAGGTCAGCCGAGAGAGAGAACAAAGATGCTTATGATTGTGTGTGGCCTAAGAAAAATGCAAAACCCACAATTTTCCTTCCCTTTACATAATTGTCTAATGCAGGATGAAAATAAAAGCTTATAGGAGACTTTCAGTCCTTTGGATTCCTCGGCAGCTTCTAGCTGTGGACTTGTGCCCACTTTCTCAAAGCTGGTATTAGCGTAAGAGCAAGCTGATGTAAAACTATATTCATGGAAAAAATAAAGATACCGTGAAAAAGATGCTACAACTCCACCTAGTGGATAAAAGCCAAAGGAACACCACACATGCCAACTGAGTTTTTCACCGTGACATTTCCAAGCAATCGATACCTCATTATTAACTGTAATCACAAGCCTGCATTTGTTTTTGTGGAAACATACCTCAGAAAGGGGACACATGGCTCACTGGGCATTCTGGTGAGAGGGTCCTAAAAGCCAAAATAGTTGTTAGTTGTGACCTTCCTACGTCCAAACCCAAGATAGGAAAGATTGATTGTGTATCCTCTTCATCCAAGACACCCCCCACACAAAAAAAAGAAAATCTTTAAAGCTTTGGATAAAGCTACTGACCTTTTGCTAACTGCTGGAAGGTAAAGGCTTGATAAATAATAAATAGCTCACCCCAGGCTTGTGCTTAGAACCTTTTAATTAAAATAGTCAAGTTACTTGCTAAGGTCACAGTGATTGACATTTGTGTCCAAGCAGAGCAAAAACATCTATCAAGTGTTGAGCTTAAAAATTAAAAAAAAAAAAATGGAGCTCTGCCCTCAATTGCATTTCCTCCTAATTGCACAAAATGCTTAACTTCATGTCTTTTGCTAATGGACGCACCCCGGATTCCCCATTACCTACCAGCCGTAACAAATCCTCGGTGCCAAAGAACAGTACTAACCGCTTGTCTGTCTAGAGCTGCTCAGCTGGAAGCTTCCTCAATATTGAGGTCAGCCAACAAACCACTACAGATTCCAAAGGATATTTCTACCCTGGTAGCTACCTAAAAGTAATTTCCCCATCTATGTTGCACAAGGGCTAATAACCTCCCTCATCAGCAGGGAGACCTGACCCCTGCCAGCTCATTTAACATGTCCGCTCACTTAAATATTTCTAATCTTTCCTGTTAATTGGGCTATATTACCCACTTCAGAATAATAGTATGAATGCACTCCACCAAATTATACAGCTGCAGACCTATTGCTACATTATACTGGAATATGGCACAGAGTCAAATATAACTATAATCACAGGTCTGACAGCCAAGTGACACTGTTACCATACAAATCAACTCCCTCTCAACCTGCCACACCACAGCACCTCAGTGTGTAAGCCAGACTAAGTTTGGTTACATGCAGCAGTGATAAACCAGAGCAAGCCTCAGCGGTCCTCACTTGTTTCTGGTTATCACAATGGACGGGTAATGCCAAATTGTTACATAGCCATTATTCAGCCATGCATTCCCCATGTAGAATGTGGCTATCAGCAAAGGGAAGAAGGGGGGAATTCATTCACTAGCTAGGACTATAATCTTAACACAGATGGCAGACTTCAAAATTGCCCTGCTTTGTAAGATCACTGACAAATGATCAGGCCAGGAAGGTGTGGAGACAACACTGTATTGCAGGAGGTGTGCATCTGCTGGCCTCTCTCCTGGAAGCCAGCTGGACTACACTGGCAAGGATGGGCCTTGGATGAATAGCTTACAAAAAGAGCCTGTCAATGCTAAAGGCACAGGCAGCTTGCCATGCATCTTTTCTCCTAGCTACCAAAACCTCTATACAACCCTATGCAAACATTTGCTGCAGAAGGCTCTTTCCTGCCCTGCTGTGTCTAGGGGTTGCTGAGTGCATCTACCCCTTCTCATACTTTTGTCCCCAGATTAAAATTTGAATGTCATGAGCTAATTTCTATTTTCCATCACTCACCTCATCCTTGCTTACAAATATTAACATTTTTCCTCTCAGTGGCCTAGTACCTAGGCACATCCCCAGCAGTTGCAGCCATGAGAGTAACAAGAATGTTTGCAGTCATGCCATCTGTGACAGGTGATCAACATGGGACCTAGGAGATGGCATAGAGTGCAACCTCAGCAAGTCTGCAGATGACACCAAGCTGGGGTGGGTGGGGAGGGGGGAGTAGTAGATATGCTGGAGGGCAGGGCTAGAATTCAGAGCGACCTTTACAAGTTGGAGGATTGGACCAAAAGAAATCTCATGAGGTCTAATAAGGACAAGTGCAAATGCCTGCGCTTAGGACAGAACAATCCCATGCACCGGTACAGACTGGAGATCAACTAGCTGGGCAACAGCTCTCCAGAAAGGGACCTGAGGGCTGCAGTGGACACTCAGCTGAATTAGCCAACAGCATGCCCTTGTTGCCAAAAAGGCTAACAGACATACTAGGTTGCAAGGGTAGGAGTGCTGTCAGCAGATCAAAGGAAGTGATTCTTCCCCTCTGTTCAGCACTGGTGAGGCCACATCTGGAGTAGTGTGTCGTGTTTTGGGCCCCCCCACTACAGAAAGAATCTGGACAACTTGGAGAATCCAGCAGAGGGCAACAAAAATGGTTAGGGCACTGGGGGATAAGACTTCTGGAGGAGAGGCTGAGGGAGCCAGGCTTGTTTGGTCTGGAGAAGAGACGACTGAGAAGGGATTTAATAGCAGCCTTCAACTCCCTGCAGGGCAGTTCCAAAGAGGATGAAGCTGGACTGTTCTTAGTGGTGGCAGATGACAGAACAAGAAGCAAAGGTCTCAAGTTGCAGCAAGGGAAATTTAGGTTGGACATTAGGAAAAACCTCTCTCAACAAGGGTGGTGAAGCACTGGAATGGATTACCTAGAGAGGTTGTGGACTCTCCATCCTTGGAGGTTTTTAAGACCCAGCTAGACAAAGTCTTGGCTGGAATGATCTAGCTGGGGGTGGTCCTGCTTGGACTAGATGACCCCCTGACAACCCTACCAACCCTCATTTTCTATGATTCTGAGTCCTGCAAATTACTAGTGTATTTATACAACTTCACTATGGTTCCAAAACAAGAGACATAAAAGAATCAATACTCGAAAAGTATGTTGGACCATCCCATTTTCTGCTTGCATCTTGTGTTTCCAAACTGTATGTTGTCATAACAAGGGGGAAGTGTTGTTTATGCACCAGTAACTGAAGAATTAAAATGCAGAAAGTATGAAATGGGAAAGATGGCAGGAAACCTAGATATGAAACCAATAAAATCTTTCCATTTTCTGGGAGGAGTGGGAGTTACTTGATGACTAAGTTTTGACTTTGAACTAGAAGAAGTAGTTTTGATTTAATCAGGAAAAAATATCCCAAACTGTAATGAAATAAGTGTTGTTCTTCTATCAAAACATTTTTTAAATTCAACTGGTAATTGCTTGGGAAGCTGAGAAGTAGAGTTCTGATCACCATGACAGCCTTCCCAAAACCGACCAGGCATTCTACTGCCTCCTCTTCTGCAGACTATTTTTGCAAAAAAGCACTCACCTCTGCCCTCCGCAAACCTTGCGAGATCTTAGCCTCTCACTTCAGAGAGGGCCACTAACTGCCATCAACAGCTGTAACAAGGTTAACTCACAATGATCAATTTGTCAGGAATAGTTATGGTTTAGCAGATGATAAAGGTGGAATGGGAGAAAGTGTGTTGCCCATTTAAACACTACTTGGGGCTAAAAATCAATATGCTGGTTTGAAATCATTTTATACAAGTTTTAGGACATGTGAGACAGTACACCATACACCACTTCAATACATACAAAGAAAGAAAGGGAAATTCAACCATGAGTCGCAGAGCCATCCAGTCTGCCCAGTGTGAGAAAGAAAGTTACCCCTATACAAACAAAAAAGCAATACTCCTAAAGAGTGAAAATAATCCAAAATTTAATAGTCTAATCCACTGTAAACTCCAACACATTTTCCACTTCAAGATACAAGAAAGCCCTGAACTTTTGAGGACAAACTCCATTTTAAAGGCGGAGGGTGGGGTAGGGAATCAATGCTGAAGTTAGCATCTCACACAGGTTCATGCAAGGCAACACAATTCAACAACTGAACTATGCTTCATTCACATAAGCATCTTACAGTCGGATGGTTCATGTGGACCATCATTGTTCAACCAGACCATGGGTGGGTAACATGTTGTTACATTATGTCCCAGTGCAACTGAGCTGAGAAACAAAATTGCTAGGATGATAAAGGATTTTCCTTCTTCCCTTCTGCGGATTCAAGCTGCTGCTCTTCATGAACTTGCTTCCGTTTCCGAAGCATCTTCAATGTGTCTGGCAGCGTCATTCTGAATGCTGTTTCAGCAGGCTTACCAGCCTTTAGTGTTACCTACAGTTTAGAGGCAGATGATCACCAGGAAAAACAAAGACAGAAATTTTATTGAAAAGTGGAATCAAAAGCAACAGTCCCCACATGTGCCCCGCAAGACCCACGCAAGAAATACAGCTTTAAAGTTCTGACTATGAAGTGAGTTCAAGGTCAGGGCATGGGGAGACTATCAAGCAGAAAACATAAGTGAAATGGGGTTGCCACAGGTCTGGACAAATCTGACTTTGATCTCATCGTTCCACTTTTTCCTCAGCCATCAACAGATTTTCATCAGATGCTGCCCTCTATCCAGAACCTCATCCATCCTCCTCCTCAGAATCCTTTTCAGAGGAGAAAGGTTGCTGGTGATCAGTGTTGGGCCATTAGAACAATCAAGGGAATGGAAAGTCTATCAAAGAAGAGGAAACTAAGAGTCTGTCTACACTGCACAATATGCTGCCATTGAGATACCCAAGCTACCTTGAATGCTTCAAAGAATATAGCCGTGTTAGCGTTGGGCTCTGTCCAGGCTAACCAACATTGCTTTGTTCTCCATGTTCAAGTTAGCTCAGATACCTCCACGCAGCACCGTATTGTAGAATACAAAATACACCTTTAGTCGAGCAAAGGGAAGGGAGTATGAATGCTCTCTATAAATATATTAGAGGTAAACAGCAGGGAAGGAGAAGAGCAAGAAGCTAAACAACAAAAGTTGGCACAAGAACAAATGGGTATGAATGCTGGCCATTTATACATCTAGGCTGGAAATTACAAGGTTTCTAACCATCAGAGCAGCAACACTTTGGAACAGCTTTCCAATCACAGTAGCAGAAACAAAAAATCCTATTGGGTTTTAAACCAGTGAAGCTCCACTCTATAAAAGGGATTATCCGACACAGCTGTCCATGACAGCAGTAGATTCAAATCTGTGACCCAGGAGGTCTCTTCAATCCTATGTTCCTATATGCAATTAGCAGAATAAAATTCAGCAGATGATGATAAGCACATTCAGTGAGCACAAGGTATTCTTGTGAATGCTACTTATTTGCCTCCCACACTGTACACAAGTCACTCGCTTCAAACACTAGGAACAAGATTAAAGAATAAATGCATATTAACTAGCAAGAATGCATCATGTTAGTTAACTACTGTAGGATGCCTGGAGAAATATGCTCAGACATTAGAGAGAAATATGTCCCCATGTTATGACACTGTATGTACATACATATAGACTGAGGGAATACCCTCTATTAGTTTTGAAATGCACCGTTTGTGAAAGCTGCTGACCTCCTGACACTAGAAACTGAAGTCCCCTAATTCAAAGCAAGCCAGCTTGACCTGGAAGCAAAAGTTTCTGTATCACTGACCTATTAACCTACTGACTATTTATTTTTTTATTTTAATAATAAATGCTTACATTCACAGCTGTTCTTCTCCGCAAAATGATCCCCTGTGTTAAAAGCAACCTTCCCGTTTCCTCAAACAGATTTTCCTCCTTAATTTGTCCTTTTTTCTTCAATTTATCGAATTCCTCCACAAACCTAGAATTCAAGATACCGATTATTTACTAACAGTCGTAAAAATATAAGTATTTTTATAACTGGGAAAGAACCATTCCGAGCTAATTCTAACTTGAGCACCACAGGTCTTACCTCTGGCAAGTGGATTTAAAGTTTGGTTGGAGGAGCTGAAAGGGTCTCGGACCACTCTGATAAACTTCATAAAATTTCCTATTCGATAAAATAAATAGTTTCAATGTTTCATTTCTTTGTGTACAGGCGATATATTCTGACAGAGAAGTTAATGAATAGACAGAGCCAGGGAACAGCTAAGTTAGGATAAACAAAGATAAACACCCTCCAACTACTTCTCTTTCCAGTCACTATCCTTTAGATGTATGTTTTTTAATTCAAGCATCCCAATGGGCTTAAATAGGTGCTAATTAATCCTTACTATGCACTGGTGGGATGCCAAAACAGCACCACTTCTTTGGTGAGTTAAGCCAAGCTGAGAAAGGCAACATGAGTTTGTGAATTGCCAACGAATAGGTAAGAAACAGCAGAAGGAACAGAACTTGCAGCCCTACTCCTCGCACACACCCACAAGCAAGGCCCTACGGACACCCAAGCACAACGGACGTGTTGTTCAATGGAAAGGTGCTAAACTGGCGAGCTGCTGTCGGCATCCTCCCGAACAAGTCACGTACAAGCGCCCCATGCCGCGGAGGGGAAAGAGGAGGCTTCCAAGCATGGACGAGCCAGGAACCGAAGTGACAGCATCAGGGCACATACTAGCACTTCCAAGCAGGTGCACCCCCAAAAACACAGTCGCAGGCTCCCGGGCGGCCGCAACCAAGCAGCAATGCAAAAAAAGAGGCGGCTGTGTCTCCCTCCCCCAACAAATACACGCAGATTTGCCGCGAGCACCGAAGAGATGCGTTTTAAAGCCTCAGCAATGAAACCGCAGCAGCACCCGCCAGCCAAGCTGGCATCCCCGGGGGAGAAGCGAGCCCCCTCCAGCAGGCACACGAGGGCCGGAGGCCACTCACGCTCGGACAGCGTCCTCCGGATACAGGATATTTGGCACCACGTCCTTGACTTCGCGGTAGTAGCGCGGGGGGGCGCGATACAGCGGCTCGCGGAGCGGCGGGAAGGCGGCATACACGTCATACCAGAGGGGAGGCTTCTTCGGCAACCCAATGCGTATCAGGTTCGTCACGCTGGAGCAAGAGACAAGGCAAGGGTCAGGCAAATGCTGCCAAGGCTTCAAGACCCTCTCCCTGCACCCCCACCTCCCTGCAGCCCCCCCCCCGGAAACCAGGCAGCCCAAAGGGAACTGCCCTTCCCCGGGCCCTACCGGCTAAACAGGGTGCCCAGCTTCTCCAAGCGACTGTTGCCCGCCATGGCGCGCTAGGCCTCCCCCGGTAACCGCGGCGCCTAACAACAGCCCGCGCTTCCGCCGGAAGCGGAAACAGCAGCCGCACCGACGGCCGAGCCATCGATCGGGCGAAGGGGCCGCGGAGGCAGAAGCAGCCGATGGCCGAGCGGGGCTGATCTGTGATGTGGCTGCTGGGATGCTGCCCCTGAGAGCAGAGATGGGGGTGGGGGGCAGGGCTGCTGCCTCCCCCTGCCACAAAGCAGCAGGTTGCTGGGCCCAGGCTTGCTGCACGTGCATGTCATGCCATGGCCGTGTCGTGCCATGCCACCGGCATGCATCGCACACCCAGGTGCTGCACGCAGAGCACCCGCCCCTGCTGTGATTTCGCCCTCTGCAAGCCCCGATGGCCTGCAAGGGCTCCAGCTCCCAGATGCGAGCCCTGGGACTGGTCTGCCTGCTGCTCCACCCCAGGCACGTGCTCACACCAAGGGTCCTAAATCCCCTGGATGGGGCAGAAGTTGGCATGGCGCTGCGGGAACCACACTCCTGCATGCGTGTGCACCCAGCACGTCTCCCACTCGTCCCGGCCACAGGGCTTGCAGCAACACACGTGGCAGCTGCTGGCAAAGGCAATTCAGTCCACCCCCGGCTGCACAAGGGCATCAATAGAAAGCGGAGCAGCTTTCCCTGGAGAGAATGCCCTCGCTGCCCCCGATAGCTGGGATGCTACAAGCACCTTGCCCCTTTCCTCCCTTGCAGACCACCATAAGGAGGGCAGCAAGGAGTCCAGGAGACTTGCACGGCCAAGG